GTGTGTGTGTGTGTGTGTGTGTGTGTGTGTGTGTGTACGTGTGTACATGTTTGTGTGTTTGAGAGGGAGAAAGCTGGAACAGTGTACTTGTATCCAATGTGGTCAACAGGGCAAGGGACAAGATGTACCTGCTGAACTAGAGATAAACTGGAATGACCACCAACAGCACTGGACAAGCTTCATGGCCTCCATGTTGCTGCTACTGTTTCTGCGTCGAAGCTACACATTGGCTAAGCCTTGTGCATGCTTCAGTTCTAAAGCAGATTAAAAATTGCTATTTTATTTAAATGAATATAGATATTATAAGAAAACAGGGTACACGAGCATTTAGCAATCAGCCTAACCACCAGGCTCAGTCAAACATTAGAAGGGATGAAAATGTGCTTCTATATTTCGTGATAAAGTGCTGAAATCATTGCATTCAAACAAAACATAACTAGACTTAATTTAGTTATGTACTTTAAATGTCTTCTTAGCAACACAATGGTTCAGCAGTAAACACTGTCCCTTCACAGCAGGAAAATTCCAAGTTTGACACTCAGCCACACAATGTCTGTGCCGAAATTCAGGGGCTGCCACCCATGTTTACATCACTGCTCCACGCTGTAGGCTGCCACAACTAGTAGGCTGTCGCAATGCAGCTGACAAAAGCCTGAAAATGTAGGCTTCATCTGAATATCCTATATGGCTGACAATGTTCCAGGAGTCATTGCCTCATCAACAAACTAAACAGACAACCAAAGGCAAATCCATGTATGGTTTTTCCAATTTTTAATAAAATGAGAAAAAAGAAATAATCGGGTGGGTTTTTAGTTGTTGTTGTTTTTTATTTTAAAACTAAATTAGAAGAAGAACAATTGCAAACTTTAAAATGTTTTTTTTTCATTTTAGTTATTAAATCAAAGACAACCTTTATTTACAACCTATATTTAGAAACTTAGCTGAATAAATTTTTGTTCCAAGGAGATGTTAAATAAAACGCAATTACAAGTACTGGATCTAAACCCAAATTATTAATGCTATTTATTTATTTATGCATAACCTTTTTATTATTTTTTAATAATACTAAAGTTTTTAAAGTTATACATCCTGTGAAAATATTTGTGAATACATCTTCCGACTGAAGCCATGGTATATAAAACGTAACACTGTGGCAATGGGGCAGTGCATGGTCATGACAACCTATGCCATCCAAAGACTAGACTGTTTCATTCCACAGCTGTTTATGCAGCCTACATAGACTGCCTATGTGGGCTGTAACTTCTGACAGCTAATGACTCTTGGAGATAGGCACCAGTTAGCTACCAAACTGGAAAGGAAAAAACAGGTACAAAAATGGGAGGAAGACTATTTTGACTTAGTCTAACCCAGGGGTCTGTAGACTGCCAGCACTTTTGGGAAAAATACTTTTAGAATAGGCATGCAGATACAAAAACAGCAAAGACAAGTGATCAAAGTAAAAAATAAAAATAAGATGCTGGCTGACAAAAAGCCAAACACGTGCACATGTTTAAGCATGAAAAAATAAATAAATAAAAGAAACAGGGAAGTGATTCTTCTGAGAAGGATATGTCAACTGTAGTAAAAACTTTAAAGATATTGAATACGGATGAAAGCCCAGAAGGATATTTGGGAAAACCAATGTTTGAGGCACATTCTTTTGAAAAAAAAAACAACAACAAAAAAACACAGATAAACAATGTTTAGTGTCATATACAGTAGGGTTTACAGAAAGTATTCAAAGCATGTGTGACTCCAGTCCTTAGAGGCTATATTAGACATTCTGTAGCCATGAAAGAAATGTCAGTGTTCAGTGTTAGTCAAACAGCTAAAATACAGTACAACTAGTTCAACTACAGTATTTAAGCTAACTGATTATCCAATAGTGGGATGAGCATTGCTCAAAGAAATCCAGCTGAAGTAGCGAGAGATAATGAATCTGTCCCACAGTTCCACACACCTACAGACCAAACTAGAAAATCACAACGATGTTTTCTGTGATGAATAGGCAGCATAAAAAATACAACACAGGCATGTAAAACCAGGCAGGAAGTTGACCTGAATGCCTTGATCAAGAGTCAGAGCCTGTGTCTCACAGTTAGTGGGTCACACCCATCGTTGTGGTACCAAAAATAAGATAGTGGAATAGTTCGGTGGAGACATTAAAGTAATGGAGAACCCTGTCTTTCATGTAATTTACAAAGTTTAATACCCAATATTTTATGTTTAGAGACTGTAATCAGAAATGACTGAATCTGTAGGGAAGAATCAGAGCAGGAATTATGGAACTTCAGGTAAGTAGAAAGGGGAATGATTTTTGCTGAGTAAATTTTACTTCTTACTTGACTTTCTTTCTTTCTTTTTTTGTAGGTGTCTGAGGTTGAGAAGAGATGTCCACAAAAGTTAAGAGTTATCTTTGGAAAAGGTCAAAGGACGAACAGAAAATGTGATCAAGTAGGAAGATGACTTTAAACTGCCTTTTGGTATCACATCATATCTGACATTGGTTCAATAAGCCAAGAATAAAGTGCATAGTACATCTCATCTAGAGTTGGTTTCGATTGTTTAGAAACTATACCATGAAGGCTATCTAAGGAAATGTTAAAGATGAGCAACTTGAGAGCAAAGGGTAAGTGAAGTTTATTTACAATATGTACAGTGAAAGTGACCTGTTAGTTCAAGTTTGTAAATTGTTATGCTAATGAATCAGAGGGTTCTGTGTCTTAAGGTTCCAGGAGGCAAGGCGACATGGAGAGGAGTCCAGAGGTGCAGGTAGGCAGAGTGGCAGGCAAGTGCGGATCCAAGGTAGGTGAGCAGGTGAATTCAATTCAATTCAGTTTATTTATATAGGACCAAGTCACAACATATGTTGTCTCAGGGCACTGTACATAAAAAGAACAATCTAAAGAAGAAGCCAGCAGACTGTGTTAAATTACTTCATCACAGTCTCCCATCCTGAGGAAACGGTGGAGAGGAAAACCTCCCTGCTAATCAGGAAGAAACCTCCAGCAGAACCAGGCTCAGGACAGGCGGCCATCTGCCTCGACCGGCTGGGTTGGGGGACAGGAAAGAGACACAGACAAACACAGGAGAACTGGTCCAGGTGCACCTTCTTCTGTACAAGAGACAAAAAGAAAAAAAACATGTTATGGATAGAAACAATTAAAATAAACATGTGGAGAAGAGAGACCAGAGACAACAGCAGAGTGAGGAAATGTGTTCGGTTTTTGCTCCAGCAGTCTAAGCCTTTAGCAGCAGAAATGAAGAATAAGTCAGGAAACCTAAGTCTAACTATAGGATTTATCAAAAAGGAAAGTCTTCAGTCTAATCTTAAAAGTAGAAGCCTCACGGACAGAAACTGGAAGTTGGTTCCACAAAAGAGGAGCTTGAAAACTGAAAGCTCTGTCTCCCATTCTGCTTTTAGGAACTCGAGGAACCACAAGTAAACCTGCAGTCTGAGAGCGAAGTGCTCTGTTAGGAAAGTATGGAACAATAAGATGTTTAATATATGATGGAGCATGGTTGTTATGTAGGAGTAATATTTTAAATTATATTCTAAATTTGACAGGGAGCCAGTGGAGAGAAGCTAAAACTGAAGAAATATGATCTCTCCTTCCAACTCTCATTAAAACTCTACCAGCAGCATTTTGGATTAACTGAAGACTTCTTAAAGAGTTTTTTGGAGCCCAGATAATAAAGAATTACAGTAATCCAGTCTAGACGCGATAAATGCATGAATCAGTTTTTCCACGTCATTTTTGGACAAAAATGTTTCAAATTTTAGTGAAATTATGCAGGTGGAAGAAGGCGGTCCTGGTAACATCTTTAATGTGGGGGTTAAAAGATATATCCTGATCAAAAATAACACCAAGGTTCTTTACATCAGAAGTGGAGGCATGATTAATGCCATCCAGAGAAGGTGAAAGGCTATAAAGTTGATCAGGTTCAAAAACCAAAACCTCAGTCTTATCTGAGTTTAGAAGCAGAAAATTAAGTCATCCAAGTTTTTATGTTTTTGAGACAAGATTGTAGTTTAAGTAACTGATAAAATTCATCAGGTTTGATGGATAAATATAACTGAGTATCATCAGCATAACAATGGAAAATTATCCCATGCTGTTTGATAACTTTACCTAATAGCATAAAGTGAAGA